AGCTTGGGTTAATTGATTTATCCTGATTTATTCCTAATTTCATCTACCCCCCCCCCCCCCCCCCCCCCCCCCCCCCCCCCCCCCCCCCCCCCCCCGCCCCTCCCCTTAGGCTGGGTCCAGCAATGGGAGCCCAGTATCCGCCGCGCATTCTTCCTCGAGGAATCCACCGGCCGCACGCAGTGGGAGCCGCCCATGGGCGACAGCGAGTTTGGTGCGCGCGGTGGTCCGCCGCCGGAGTCGGATTCGTATTATCGTGCTGGTCCGCCGCCGCCGATGGGATACGGTGGTGGTCCTCCGCCGGGTGGACCGGAGGGGTATGCTTCTCCGCCGCCTCAGGGCGAGTACTATCAGGGAGAAGACCCGAACGAGAAGAAAAAGAGTGACCGGAAGAAGTATCTTTTGGGTGGTGCTGCGGGATTGGCGTTGGGAGCTGCAGGGGGTGCGTTTATTGCGCATGAGATGGGTGAGTCTTTCTTTTCGAGTTCAATTTTGATTATGCATGACATGATATCGGATGGTGCTAACTGGATGTAGGCGACGACAGTTCCTCTGACGAAGAAAAAGAAAGGGAACATGAGCGTGAGGAGCGCGAAGAGGCGTATTCGGACCGCGGGGATGACTATCCCCCACCTGATGATTGGTGATTGTGTGCTTCTGGTTGACTATATTGGTTATGTTGGTAAATATGAATTCAAGATCATTTTTGGCTGCATTTGGGATCTTGCATTTGTAGAAAAAAAGACCCTGTAAATCTGGCGATCGTGGGGTGTGTTTGCATTGAATGCAAACATGTAGCCTTACTGTTCACAACCTGGTCAGAGGTTTACCGAAGCCAGCACAAGTGCGTGAGCGACGGTCTACGGCGTGGGGACAGGTAGGAACCATGTCCCAAACCAAGGAATTGAAGAGTCTGGCAGAAGTGCTTAGTTTGAATTTGGAATACGGCATCGCAATAACCCCAAACGCGTACATTGGGTACCTCAACGCTGCGGCTTGTCTGTTGCAATATATGTATTATACCGCGATACGCCACACGCTGGAGGTCGAGGTGGTTCATCTTGGCTGTCCTCAGAGCATCATGTACCTGCATTCTTAGCGGCTTCGAGTTTTCTCGAAAGCCAGGGACCTTGGGCCGGGGAACGTCATAGATGATTGCGTTAGCACAATTACCCTAGCCTTCCTTCCCTAGCCTTCCGTCCCAAAGATCGAGTCACTGACATGTGGTTACTGGTATCTGGAATTCGCCATGATGTACCGGTCGGTCATTTTGATTGCTTCAAACAGCGTTAACAAACTGTCCCGAGTGGCAGAGATATGTACCCCTTTACCAAGCGCTGTATAAGAAGTACTGAAATGCTTCTCTTGAGCACCTTTCTTCCAAGCAAGATGTCTTCTGGTGTTCTGTGGCGTTGGAAATAGGTGGTGACGCTGTCTCGGGGTCGGGACTTTCCCCTCAATCCGCTCACTTTACCATTTGACATAGCTTGCCTTCTGGTCACAGGCGTGCTGGTACTACAATATATGACGCCAATTGTCAAGGCGATGTTTACTGTAGATAAAAATGGGTTTTCCTTGTGAGCCCCTCCCATTCTAGATCCGGGATGGAGAGGCTTTGGTAAAACAGTATTCGAAATGCTCCGTCAGCATCACGGTGAATACGTTGACAAGTCCATGAAATCAGCAAAGATTGGACCGTCAGTAGATGATGAGGGATTGATCCGTAGAGAATTAGGGCGACACCTCTGTCCTGTAAATTTGGTAGAAATAGATACATTTTGGCTACCTTTCTCCATCGGTTGCGAAATCTATCATTAGACCTCGCCCTCACCCGCGGGTAACCCTCGGAGGGTCACCCTAATACCCTCATTTTGAGGGTTGAGGGTCTGGCTCTCTTACCCGCAGTGAGGGTCCAGGTCAGGTCTTGACCCTCCGAGGGTGACCCGCGGGTTACCCGCGGGTCATCAAACAAGACTAGAGTGTCACGGACGGCCCCGTGACCCCGCCCCGAACCCGCCCCAAAGCCCGCTGGGCCGGGGTTTGGGGCA